CAACATACAAAGTCATTGCTGAATGAGGAGGGGGATTAAGGGTCAGGAAAGGATCTGAAGAAGTTTGTTTTGGAACAGATGATTTCACATTGGGGAAGGCCATGATGGTTGTGTCAAAATAATTAGAAGACTCTCATATAAAAGATGAACTTTACTTGATCTAAGTCCGAACTAGGAACAATATATTAACCGCAGTGGAGAAAAATATGTCGCTGTAATTTAACTCAACCAAAAATGAGCAGTTCTTCTTATAAGGCAGGGAAGCTGGGAAATTACCCTCCAGATTCAATTTTTTGGACAAATACACTTTGGAAATACAAGGAAAACTAAGATATAATTTCTGCCTTAAGGATTAACATATTCTTGAAAGGCAAGGAGAATTAAAATATAGTATATTATGGTGGGTGCTTTGGGACGAGCTCAGAAATGAGTCACTTAAATCCATTCAAGATAAGCGTATGTTGAGGAGGGAGGTGTTCTGGAATACTTCCAGAATAGATAACATTTCAGTTGAATTTTGAAGGAAAAGTAGAAGATAGCCTAAGTTGAAAAAAATATTCTATGACTATTTTAGAAAGAATTTGTTAATTCAGGCATTAAATCAAATGATATTTAAATTCAATCCATTTGTGAATTACATGATCTTAGGTGCCAATCCAAGTTAATGATTTAAAAGTTTTGACCTTATGTCACATATAAAAATTAAGTTAAAATAAATCAAAGACTTAAATGTAGGCTAAATGTTGGAAAGGCTTTATGACATTAGATTAGCAGTGATTTCTTAACTATAAGACCAAAAGCACAAGAAAAGAAAAAGTAGGTAAATTGGATTACATCAAAACTGTAAACTTTTATGTGTTAAAGGACACAATTAACAGAGTTAAGAGACCATAGAATGGGTAGAAAATATTTACAAATCAAATATCTGATAAGGGTTTAACATCTAGATTATATAAAAGAATTTCTATCACTCAGTAACAAAAATGAACAAAAAAACCCAATTAAAAAATGGGCAAAGGGCTTGAACAGACATTTCTCCAAAGAAGATAGGCAAATGACCAAAAGCACATGAAAAAAGATACTCTGCATTACTAATCACTAGTGAAATGTGAATCAAAACCATGAGATCACCTCACACCTATTAGGATGATTATTATAAAATCAAATGGAAAATAATTAGTGTTGGAGAGGATGCAGAGAAGTTGGAACCTTGTGTACCTTTGGTGGTGATATACAATGATGTGGTTACTGTAGAAAACAGCATGGCAGTTCCTCAAAAGAATTTTTAAAGATAGAATTACTATCTGATCTAGCAATTCAACTTTAGGGGAGATACACAAAAGAATTGGAAGCAGGGACTTGGCTAGATGATTGGATACCCATGTTCATGGTAGCATTATTTGCAACAGCCAAAAGGTGGAACCAATTCAAGTGTCCATCAATGGATGAATAGATAAACAAAAAGTGGTGTCTACATACAATGGAACATTATTCAGCCTTAAAAAGGAAGTTAATTCTGACATCTGCTACAACATGAATAAAACTTGGAGATATTACACTAAATGAAATAAGCCAGTCACAAAAGGATGAATATTATTTTATTCCACTTATATGAGGTACCTAGAGTAGTCAAATTCATAGAGACAGAAAGTAGAGTAGTGTTTGCCCGGGGATGGGGGAAGGGAGGATGGGGAGTTATTGTTAAACAGGTATAAAGTTTCAGTATTGCAAGATGAAAACAGTTCTGTGGGTTGTGGTGATGGTACCACAACAATGTTCGTATACTTGGGGCACCGGGGGGCCCCCAGTTGGTTAAGTGTCTTGGTATCAGCTCAGGTCATGATCTCAGGGTTGTAGGATCAAGTCCCTCATTGGGCTCTGTGCTTAGCACAGAGTCTCCTCGTCCCCCCCCCGCCCCTCCCCTCTCAAATAAATAAATAAATAAATAAAATCTTAAAAAAAAAAAAAAGAATGTTCATGTACTTAATGGCACTGAACTGGACATATAAAAATGGTGAAGATGGTAAATTTTATGTTATGTGTATTTTACAATTTAAAAAAAAACTTTTGAAAACGCTTATATTTAAAATACAATAAATTGATATGTTTTTCTCTAAAAACTTGGGAATTTTTTTCTCATTTCTTAGAATCAGTAAATATACTATATATTTACATTATAAATACATATATATATATCTCAATTCAGATGTTTTGGGAACTGATAGGAAAATCTGACTATGGTGACAAAAGCAATAAAAAAAAAACAAACTCACCAGGTGTATTTAAGTTTTTATGCAATGGATATCTTATCATAATAATCTTAGCACATGTGAAACCTCTAGCCAGAGACAACAGAAAAATTACTGAAAAGCATCATGTCTTTATTAAGATTGGTAATGTAAGGAATAAACCTCCAGTTATCCTTTTGAGGACTGCAGTATTTTTATTGCTTATTGGCTACTCACACATGAAACAATGTTTAAATAAAATGATGAATGAAATAACAAAGGAGAATTTGTTTGTCAGCAGCTAGCTGGTTATAATCAGATGAACTTACACTGTTTATTTTCAAAGTAATCTAAGCAGACAATGGAGAGAGGGGACAATGGACAAATTACATTGAGCATTGAAATATTCTGGGTAAATACCTCTATTCTGGTGGTGAGAGGTGAAGTCTACTTTGCCTACTAAAATGGTGGGAAATTTCTCATTGAACAACGATGACGGCTTAAGACTTATGCAATAGATTACAATTTAAAACAATTGTAATAAATGGGCAAATTAGCTTGTTTAAGGATTATAGCTTTATGGTAGCACACACCTAGACGTTCTCAGCATCGAGCATTATTATTTTGAAGCCCTTTTGAAGCTAAGTGCTCAGAATTTGCTTCTTTAACACAAACAACTTCTCTGATTTGAAAATTATACAACTTTATATTATGGGCATAACTGAATTTAAATCAAAGTTTCTCTGCCTAACTTTTTTTTTAAATACACACAACTCAGAAAATGATGATTGGTATTTCTTTACTCATTGTGGCAGAAATGGCTCATGACCCCAATTTATAGTGCAGAGTTGTTAGTGGGAGCAACTGTGCAGCCAAAAATTGTATTTTCCAGCCACTCTTGCATCTAGGTAAAGTCAACTGGCTATTTTCTACCCAAGAAATGGCAAAAATGGTGTATGTCATTTCTGCAAAGAAGACAACCAAATGGCTAACGGACATCTGAAAAAGTGCTCAACATCACTTGGCATCAGGGAAATACAAATCAAAACCTCAATGACATAGCACCTCACACCAGTCAGAATGGCTAAAATTAACAAGTCAGGAAACGACAGATGTTGGCGAGAATGCGAAGAAAGGGGAACCCTCCTACACTGTTAGTGGGAATGCAAGCTGGTGCAGCCACTCTGGAAACCAGTATGGAAGTTCCTCCAAAAGTTGAAAATAGAGCTACCCTAAGACCCAGCAATTGCACTACTGGGTATTTACCCCAAAGATAAAAATGTAGTGATCCAAAGGGGCATGTGCACCCCAATGTTTATAGCACCAAGATCCACAACAGCCAAACTATGGAAAGAGCTTGGATGTCCATCAACAGATGAATGGATAAAGAAGATGTGGTATACACACACACACACACACACAATGGAATATTATGCAGCCATCAAAAAATGAAATCTTGCCATTTACAACAATGTGGATGGAACTAGAGGGTATTATGCTGAGCAAAATAAGTCAATCAGGGAAAGACAATTATCATATGATCTCACTGATATGTGGAATTTGAGAAACAAGGCAGAGGATCATAGGGGAAGGGAGAGAAAAATGAAACAAGACAAAACCAGAGAGGGAGACAAATCATAAGAGACTCTTAATCTCAGGAAACAAACTGAGTGCTACTGGAGTGGTAGGGGGGTGGGAGGGATGGGGTGGCTGGGTGATGGACATTGGGGAGGGTATGTGCTATGGTGAGCACTGTGAATTGTGTAAGACTGATGAATCACAGACCTGTACCCCTTAAACAAATAATACATTATATGTTAATAAAAAAATAAAAATAAAGACCAAAAAAACAGCCAAAAATAAATAAATAAATAATAAATTAATTTAAAATTTAAAAATTTTAAAAAATGGTGTATGTCACCTGGGGGATGAAGTTGGGAAGAAGTGGGCATGCATTCTCTCCATTCCCTTTCCCTGTTCTTAGCTATACGTTGAAGCCCATAGTAATTTTGTAAGCTATCTTTTGAAAATGGTGGAGCCTCTCTCTATTCATTTCCTTGAAAGGCTGGGGAAAGAACAGCTCCTCAAACCTAGCCCTACCCCTCTCTACTGCTGATTGGACTTTACATGAGCCAGTGTCAAATTTCTCTTGCATTAGGACACTAAGCAGCTGATATTAATTTGTTGTTATTTTGGTTTTTCTTTTTTTTTTAAGTAAGCTTCATGCCCAACGTGGGGCTTGAACTCACAACCCTGAGATTAAGAGTCCCATGCTCGGGTGCCTGGGTGGCTTAGATGGTTAAGCATCTGCCTTCCGCTCAGGTCATGATCCCAGGGTCCTGGGATCAAGTCCCGCATCAGGCTCCCTCCTCCTTGGGAGCCTGCTTCTCCCTCTGCCTCTCTCTCTCTCTCTGTCTCTCATGAATAAATAAATAAAATCTTAAAAAAAAAAAAGTCCCATGCTCTATGGAGGATGGAGCCAGCCAGGTGCCCAATTAGCATGAATTTAAATTATAATCTCTACCTTACATCTAATCAAAAGTCTATTGATTCGGGCAACTTATTGGGACCCTCCCTCTTCGGGAGTTTTGTATTATCACTCAATAAACTTTGTTTTACTATCACTCAGTAAACCTTGCTTTGCTGCCCACCACTCTGTCTGGTCTATTTCTTCATTCTTCGAAGTGGTGTGACCAAGAAGCATGGGCACCGAAGGAAGAAGGAAGAAGGAAAACAAATCCTGTAACACTATGATAAGACAAAGTGGAATGAGATGTAATAAAGGAACAGAATCAAGAATTACGAGGTACACAGAGAGCTATAATCAGAGACCGAGCAGCTTGAGAGAAACAAGAAAAACAGCTGGAATTAGAAAGTAAGAAAATGGCTAAGATTGGTAATAAAGAAGCTTGCAGAGTTTTAGCCAAACAGCTTGTACATCTATGGAAACAGAAAACAAGAACTTTTGCTGTAAGTTCAAAAGTCCCTTCTATGTCGACACAAACAAAAGTGATGAATTCCCAGATGAAGATGGTGGGAGCAATGTCTACTACAGCAAAAACAATGCAAGCAGTTAACAAGATGGATCCACAAAAGACATTACAAACAATGCAGAATTTCCAGAAGGAAAACATGAAAATGGAAATGACTGAAGAAATGATCAATGACACACTTGATTATATCTTTGATGGCTCTGATGATGAAGAAGAAAGCCAAGATATTGTGAATCAAGTTCTTGATGAAATCGGAATTGAAATCTCCGGAAAGCTGGCCAAAGCTCCAACAGCTGCCCCAAGCTTACCATCTGCCTCTACTTCAAAGGCTACAATCTCCGATGAAGAGATTGAACGGCAACTCAAAGCTTTAGGAGTAGATTAGTCAGAAAAACCATAATATTTTG